GTTTTCTATCTTTAGATGTATCTAGCTAAAAGAGAAGAAAGTTTATTAACTTATTTTCTGCATAAATAGTGTAGGATTTCTTTACACTCTAGAATAAATTGGTGACTCTTATAAGCACCTTCTGTGTGTGTGTGTGTGTGTGTGTGTGTGTGTGTGTGTGTGTTACGTACTTTGTAGCTTGAATCTAACCTAAATACTAAAGATCCCTGTCTCACATACAACAATACTTTGGTCTGGAATGTGTCTCAACAACAGCATTGTTAAACACGAATGTGATTCAGAATAAACAGGGGCTAGATTAAGCCATCAGCTCCAACATTCCTCTATCGATTGTCCCTTTCATGAATTTCATAGTGCAGATGCTGAACAACCCTTGCATATAATGTCTTTTAAGTTCATTTTAGATGTGTCCTCATGGAAATACTAATCTCTGAATTTATCCCTCCTCATGAGATGATTAATTTAGGACATTTGTGAGTAACCTACTTCATAGTTATTCAATAAACATATGCCCATGCCCCAAGGATACTCCCATGCTCCCCGTTAGCCACTGCAGGAAGATGTTCTTGGTATTTGAGGATTATTTTGGAATACCCTTGACTAGGCGTATATCACATAGCAATACCAGGTTTGTTTGTTTTTTATTTGGAAACAATTTATAATTTAATACTAGACTATTAAAAATAATTGTAGCTTGACCCTTCCATTTGAAGAGAAATGTCGATTATATCAGATGAATTACTGCTAAAGCTGGAGCCAAAGTCTCTTGTTCCAAAACTGACACTCCCTTTTCTACATAAGTAACTATCTCCTATTTAAAAAAAAAAAAAAAAAATCAGTGAACATGAAAGATCATAAGACCTGAGGAACTCTAACTATCACTAGCAGTACTACTTCGAAATTTTTCAAAAAGTTTAAAACTTTAATATTTAAGTGATGGGGGGGGGGGGGAGGCTTATGAGGACCTAGCCTACCTGAAGAGCTATTGCCAATTGATGGCTGGTGGATAAGGGAGACTGTCAGGTTGCTTCAGGGCGTCAGACTTGAGATGGCCTGTGGATGGCCTGTGAACATACAGCAGCATTAAGTGGATTCTGGGTTTAAAAAGACTACATGAAGTCGGGAGGGAGGGCAGGTATGACAAGGGGGACGGGCATGGGTGGGTTTGATCAAAACGTAAGGATGAAATTTTCAAGTAATTTTAATTTAAAAGTTATTAATACAAAGTGATTACATCTTCCACTTTTGGCATTTTGCTTATCACTTTGCCTGTGTACAAACAAATTCAAACTTTAAAAAAAAAAGTATTTGCTGTTTCAATGACATGAAAAGTCTTAGGAAACTTAGGTTAATTTGTACCTAATATATTCTAAGCATCCAGAAGTAGTTGTGTTCTCATTAATGACATAAGTTCTTGCTTATAGCAGGCTAGAAAACATTTAGTAAGATTTAAAACATTTTAAAAAGTTAATCTTTTTTGTATTTTAAGTGTGTGGATGTTTTACTTTCATGTATGTGTGATATACACATATTACACACAATTCTTGCAGAGTCCAGAAGAGGGCATTGGATCTCCTGGAACTAGAGTTACAGACTGTTGTGAGCTGCCCGGTGGGTGCTGGGAACCAAACTCTGGTCCTCTGGAAGAGCAGCCAGTGCTCTTAACCACTGAGCCGTTTCTTCAGTCCCCTGCAAACCTTTACTTTAAAATTTTAGTATGCGTATGTCTGTCTGTGAGTACGTGAGGGCTGGCGCCTGTGGAGGGGAGAGGTGTCAGATCCTCTGGAGCTGCAGGGATGGGTGCTCGTGTGCTGCCGCCGTGGCTGCTGGGAGTAGAACTCAGGGCCTCCTCGAGAACAGTACGTGCTCTTGCTCTTAACTGCTGAGCCACTCTTCCACCTCCAAACTAAGTATTTTAAAGTTAAGATTAAATAAAAGGAAACTCAATTTTCCAGTTGTGCTTAAATTGAGGAAATAAGATTTCTATATGATTTTCTTTATTGGATCACAGCTTCTTCCTACCTAGTTACAGATAGGTAGGAAGGTTTAAAACTTCTCCAGAATGTGAATTGGAATGAGGAAGGTGATGATGCATGACTTTTCTTATCTGTGTAGTTAGCTACACGTGCTTACTAAGTTTGTTATAGAAAGACTTCACAATGTGCTGATTCTGGAAAGAACAGATGAGAACATGCTCCATCCCTGCGATATTAAAGCCCTCCTTGCACACACATGAGATTGGATAGTGCAATATTAACATAAGCCACACAACTTTTGTAGTGTTGATCACAAAGCTTAAATGCTCTTCTTTAGGAAGGTTTTGCTTTTCTTCTAAATGAAAGTTCATTGTAGCTGGCTCTAGCTATCATGAGGGAGCTATGGAGACATCAGTATTCTATAAGGGAGGCTGGTTCTGAACATGGTGCCTCTTAGTTTCTATTGATGGGATGCTATTCATAGGAAGGAATAGCTTCCTTTTCTGCGCTGTCTCTGCCCTCCTGGGAACAGATGGGTGCTAAATTACCCTGGGTGTTAACCTTTCCGAGGTCCCTCAGTTACCTATTGCCCTTCTGGCTTAAAGTCAGTGATGACGTGTTTTACGAAACAACTATATCCAGCTTTCCTTAGGAATGCTACAAAGCAGCCTTAAGATACACACATATTCCTAGTGCATTCTTCAGAATAAAACTAGTGGGTTTAATTTGTGAAGTCACTTAACACAGAAGACAAACCAGTGCAGAAAGGAAATCAGAAAAACAAAACAAAACACAATGTTTGAATAATAGGGAGCTGGAGAGCAACAGCTTCTTCCATCCCCTTGAGAATAACCATGAAGAAAGAAACTGAACAGACATTTGTGTTAAGGTAATTCCGTGATGACACAGTCGTGAGGAAGAGGTTTCATTCACAACGTGAGCCCTAGAGGCACTGAAATGTGTAATATTCGTTAAGTTACTCTAAAACTTCTGTCCTGGGCTTTCTGGTCGTTGTATGAATTATTTTGCTCGGGATTCAGTGTCTCAGCATAAGTGGTCTGGTTACTTGTTCATACACTCACACACAAACACACATCTCCGACCCTAGAAGAGGCTGCCTTGAAATGAGGATTAGAATCTGTTGTAGGATTTGAAGTTAAGAAAGACACTTATACTGTTGAGATCACTCTTCTTTATAGGCAACGTGCCCCTAATGCGTCTTTACACCAACAAAGAAAATAAAATTCCAGGCAGAAATAAAAGAAATGAAGTGTCTTCCCCTAAAGTTAGAAAATACTGAGTCATATCTTTGTGATTTTAAAGTTTTCCAAATTCTGCAGTCTTTTTATTCATTAAGAAAGACACACTGAAGGTCTCCTTTCCCATTGCTTGGAAATACATGTCAGCATAACCTGTCAGCACTCTGTCGAAAGGTATTCAATCAGTGTGAGCTAAGTGTTTCAAGTCTGTTGGAGTGGGCTTGAAATTTCCATGATTCTACATTTGATATTCACCAGGAACACGAGTTCATTCATCTGAGACTTGCAAGGCAAGACAAAGAGGTTTATGTGTTTATTTTACATTTATTCTTCCAAATGTAGCTAGAAACAGTTCTCAAGTTTGATTTTATGATTTAAAGAAAAATTAAGTCGAAAGTAGTTTTAACTTACAAAGAAAAGCCAGGATAATAGAAGCTGAAGGTATGCGTCGGCAAGGTGGGTAATGGAAGCAGCAATGATGGAGTAGAAAGGCGAAGGGCTAACAGCAGAACTTCAGAAGCTGTACAAGTTACGAAGTGTCTGCATGCCGTGGTCGCCTTGCGCAGATGTTAAAAACAAACAAAACAAAGCCCTCACCTGCAAATCCCGGGGCAGGCTAAAGGTGGCAAGACCCATAAAGAGGCTAAGGGACTCTGCCCTCCGGAACCCTAAGCCTGGGGGCTGCCAGCCTCAGCCACCTGTTTGCGTCCTAGCCCTGGGGGTCGTTCCCCCTGCCCGAGACCTATTCTTCCAGCCAAGTCCGCAGACCCCGTTCAGCTCTCCGACCTCGCCTGCACGCACTGTCCCGCGGACTCCGCCGGGTGGGATCCGCGAGGGCCTCCCGCTCCCGCCGCTCGCCGGAGGGCATGCCCTGCGTCCGCGCCGGCGCCCCCCGTCCCTCGCCGCCACCCGAGCGCAGCTCGCCGCGGCCCCAGGGCGCCGGAGTTTTGAGATTCCCGCCTTGCAGGCTCCCGGCACCCTCCCCCCGCTTCTCTTTTCTCATCCTCTCCTCTTTTAACTTTCTCCCCAGCCACGCTCGGTCGGTGCCACGGCGTTTCGCAGGGGGCCGTCTCCGCCATCTCGCAAAAGGTTGGCTCTGGCGAGGATCCCGCGAGCAGCTTGCGGCGGGCCCGGGTGCTCGCCCACGGGAGCTGCGGGGCGCGGCGCGGCGCGGCGCGGGGCGGGGCGGGGCGGCGGGGTG